AATTTTTGGGAAAGAAAGTTTTTGACTTTCTACTACTCCATCTTGATACAAAAAAAAGGATGAGGGAATCTTCCAAAGAAAGGAAAGAAGTAATCAATTTAAAAATAAGTAGCTCTATACATGGATGCAAAGAAGTAACTTTCCGACACAAACTGAGAGAAAGTCCCCCTGCAACAGCTACTTTCATATAAACATTGAATTACACGAAAGAAAAAAATTCTTTCGAAACAAATGCTTCTATATGAACACTGAATTATACAGAAGATACTTTTCTTTACTCAGTTTGTATTTCAAACATTCGTTGTGGAATAAAAATTAGATATCATTCACATGAGTTCTACTTTAAATGAATGGTAACAAATTGCACTTACATGGAACACTGTCATTCTCACTGGTATTCATCGATCTTTCGCCTCAAGACACTTGCCCTAAGGCTCTTCAGTACCAAATTGGATAACATTAGTAGAAAGCCAAAAACTTTCATTCCCAAAAATTAATCACTCCTAAAAATATAACCCCTTCAATTCAAATCTAATTAAATATTCAGTTCTCCACCTATAGCTGATAATAGCTGATAAGTAAAATTTCATTATCATAATCAAATTTTTTATTTTTTTGGGTAATATGCTGTTTAGATCGTACTTATAGTCCATAATCAGTGCAAGATTCTTACAGTAATCAGCAACTTCAATCTTATATCCTACCCTTATTGTCATTATCACAAAATTTAAAAGAAAGATATAGCTGTGTGTCATCTGCATAAAAATGGTATTCAGTTTGTCAGATGAAGATAGAAGTTGCTAGTGTATGTAGTGTATAGTTATGGTCTCAGAATACTTCTCTGTGGAATGCCCTGACATATGTCCAAAGAATCTAAGATATGATTATCTAATTTTAGCTGTTGCGACTTACACTTACAGAAAATCCAATTAAAGGAGAATCTCATGTGTTAAGGTATCAAATTTATTGGAATAATCAAGTAGTATCAGAGCACACATTTCATTATTACCAAGTGACCTTAATATTTCCTCAGATGTAGTACACAATTCTTATGAACAACTATAGCCAGACCTCTATCCACTCTGATATATGGGAAGTATATTATCATTTTCGATGTGTGTTCTCATTTGCAGTTCAAGAGTTTTTTCCACTAATTTCGATAGGGTTGGCAGCACACTTATACTTCGATAGTGACTGAGTTCCGTTGGGTTACTGATTTTTGCTAATGGCTGCACATAAGCACGTTTTCAAACTTTAGGAAAGTAACAACAATTCATACATTCATTGACAACATGGGTGATATATGGACAACAGAGCAGAATTATGTTAATATTTATATTATCAATGGAAGTGTTCAAAATGACCTCCATCTAGTTCCATAAAGTCTACTTTCGAAAGATGTCCGAAGTCAGAAATTGGCATTCCCGAACAGGTCTTCTGTTTATTTAACGTGTTGTGGCTCACGTTATGGTCTGGATGATTCGTATTATAAATTCTTACAGCCGCTTTAGCACATTCGTTATTTCGATAATAGGTTGCAACCATTTCTATTCTTTCTTCGGTAGAGTAAACAATAAACCATGTTGAAACACAGTGAACAAGGATGACTGAATAATAATTCGTGAAGAAGTGACAGTGGCCAACTACCTACTTTTTTTCTGGGACAACTAGATTCAACAAAAACTACCAGTGCAGAAAAAACCAACAGTGTCGTCCATTTCAAAACGTTCACTACTAATAAAAAAATTGTACAAATCTATAAAACCTGCGACATTCAAGATTAGCATACTGCCGACTGTTTCTATTCCTCCTAAGAGCTTTGTCGCGCATTCTTTGCATCAATTCAATATTATCAGTAATCTATGGGGTATTTTTTTTCTTTTCCGCAGAATACGAGGTTTTATGTGGTGCATGAATATCTGCCAATAACAAAATATTCTAATTGATTAAGTTTTTTTACCACCAATTGATGCAATGTAATGAATATTATTCCAAAGAGGATTTTCAAGATCTCTTTGAAAACTGTATTGAACATTTTTTTATCATAATGAACAAGATATAACAAAGTGATCAGCTATATCAGCATCGATCACGTCAGCACTCATAATTTCAAAATTAGTAAACAGTAAATCTATAAGAGAGACATTATTTTCAGAAACCCGGGTGGGGCCATTAATTCTTTGTATTAAATTAACCGTGCATGTAATTGCTCGCAAATCACTCGATGGCTTAGAATTCGAATCTAAAAAATGTATATTAAAATCACCAGAACATATTATTTTGTCATAATCTGATAATATGTTGATGAGAGCATCCTTGAACATATTCAGGAAACACGTATTATCCGAGTTAGGTGGTCTATATATTTCTCCTATTTTCACTTCAAGCCATAACTGTTCTAAAAATCAATCTCGAATTACCTACACAGTCCTAATGTCCACAGTCCTAATGGACTGACATCTATCAGAAAACAACTATTCCCCTGGCTGATACCACGAAGAGCGTCGAATTATATCCAACAGGTGTCAGTGCAGGAATCTTCACAGAAGTATTTTCTGCATATGCTGTTGGCGGTACAACTGCTGGAATCGATTTTCAATTATAGGAACGGGCACACTTGCAGACCGGTTTCGGGCTATTTGGCATCTCATCAGTGCAAGGTAGTGACCATCATCAACCTAAAGTTGATGATATTCCATAATTGAAATTTGAATTTCTTTCAGAGTATCATTCCTCTAATCAAGATGAAGCGAAGGACAAATAACAAATTTGTCATCGCTCCATGTGGTAAAAAAAAGGTATTAACCAACCGCATATCCAAAATTCGCCCAATTTCTCGTAAAACGAAAGAAAGAAACCTTCACATATGTGAATGGTCTGAATATGTGAATGTTCTAAATATTCCAGAATTTCCTTCAGAATAACCATGGTATTCAATCCAACTCATATACAGTAGCCCCCCACTTTTTCTGACCAGCCGATCATTTCTCACTAATTTATAACCTTCAATTGAAACACTTCAAAACACGATATGCCTGGATGCAACTATGTCTCAGAAATACCGATTATGTCATAGCTATTATCATCCATGTCAACATTTAATGCATTTGAATGAGGTATCAATGAGCGTACATACATTCACATGTGCAATGGATAAAATAATTGCCATTTGAGATTTATTAAATATGACAGAAAAAAAGTCAGTTAAAACCAAATATGATAACAATGCGAGAAATCACTGTTTAATTCAGAACAATGGTGCAAATTAAAATCGGGATCAAATATAATATAGACCAAATCATTCCTAGCCCTGTCCGCCAAAAAATTTAATAAACATCAAAAAATCTTAACGTAACCCATATGATAAGCACCACTTAAATAGCTATGTTAAAGTGTTTTATCATTGTTTACATTTTAAATTTCATGTCTACCGATTTTACTAAATGTTCACCAAATTTAGAATGTTTAAGCTATGCGTCCGTGCTGCACATAATAAATATTCGCGCTATCCATTTATATGTGAACCAACAATGAACTTATATGAACTAAACTATTAATGGACTTAAATCACTCTATAAACCAAAATCAGCTGCTTTATCCATTCTGTTGGAAATAATACAAAGATATCGATTTTGAATTTTATTCGAATTGGACATATTTACACTAATGCCACAAGACAAACCAAATTACTGTCAAAAATTATGAAAAAAACAAATTTTGGAAAAAAGTCGATATATCATGATGGGATCATTATATATAATTCAATTCCAGAAAAAATAAAAAAGCATTATTCCATTACAAAATTTAAGTATCAATTGAAAAAAAATTCTAATTAGTGGAATTTCATAGTTTGCATTGTATTTCTATTACACTTGAATTCGTTTTCAACATATACTTTCTGTAACCTATTTCATATTTGACTGCATTTCATTGGTATTTTATTTTCCAGATATGATTTGTGTTCATTGTTAAATATGTTAAATTGATTCGAAATCCCTGAAAGAATCTGTAAAAAATTAAAAATATTGGCTGAAGAAACAATTTTATTAGGCAAAAAATTGAAATTACAATGAAATGACATACAGCAACCACCAAAGAGGGAAGAGGGGATAGATGAAAGCAGTCGAATGACCTATAAATAGTCAGATCTCGAAGGAATAAGTCCAGTTATCACCCGAAGACGATTGTGGAGAGATTGTGAAGTAACTCAGTTTGGAATATTTCAATTTTATATTTTCAATTTTCATTTCTTGTAATTTTCATTCATTGTAATTTCAGTTTTTTGCTTAATAAAATTGTTGTTTCAGCTAATCTTTTTAATTTTTTACAGATTCTTTCAGGGATTTCAAATCAAATTATATCATATTGAACACTGGAAGTCCGAACTGATGAAACGCACCACGAAACATTGTCAACCACCTTCGAATATATGTTATTTACGTTATTTTATTATACTTTGTAGAGTCCCTCATTATAAGCATTCATTATTTCTTGGGACAATAAACTGAATTAAATTTTTTTAAAATTCCAATATGAATCACTACTTTCGCACAGACACCGCTCTTAGATCGCCTCAAGAATTTTCCTGTAGTGCTTGTGTTTTGTCCTAAAATAAGAAAACTATATAGTAGCTTTACCAAACACGTCTATTGGTTTTGTAAACTGTCTAGTTGAAATCTCATAATAAAGTGTTACTTGAATGAAATATATTAAATCATATCAAGACATTTCTGATCACATGAGTGAATAAACCAATGAAATCAATATTACCTTACAATTTCGTTTTACTTTTACATGATCTATTAGTCATTCAGAAAAATTACTACTCTTAATAAAAAAAAGCTTTGAAGTTACTGCACAGGTATTTATGAGTTCTGTTCTATTACTGATTACTATAGTATTTTTTTTAATGAATATGTTTAATATACTAATGATTAAAAAATTATATCCAAACTTATTTGAATCACAATCAAATTAAAATCATGGAATCAAAAACAAAATAAAAAAATACATAATCCATATTTAATATCAAATATCCTATTTGGAAGTTATTAGTAACAGATATATTAATGAAATATAATACGTTTATTACTAAAATAATAAACTCATCATAATTTATATACATACCTTAGACACCCTATCATATCATATATACAATATATTTGAAATAGTTTCAATTCAGAACATTTAAAAGAAATATAGATTTTTGGTTCTGTTTGTATTTTAAATTACAATGAATTAGAAATTTGAATTATTCAAAATAATTTTTGATGTTCTCTTGGTATTTGTGAAGACTGCAAAAATGTAATGAATCCAAGCTCTGTTTCATGATGATATTTTGTTGACAATGTGCCACAATGAACTTATAGATATAAGAATAATTACAGTAATAAACCACTAATACAATATTGAAAAAGAATAGAAAATTCAATTTTTTGGCTGGTTTTGCAAAAAATTATTCTACCATGTCTGATATCATTTAACACAATGGTAAATGGCAAACAAAAATAATTATTATAACATTTTCAATGGTTTCTATTAGAAATATTTATTCTTTTCTCTTTTTTAACTTGCATTCTATTCACTTGATTTACAATTGAATGGCAGACTGTGATTATATATTTAATTGATATTCGTATTTCAAATATCATTTTTGCAATCAAAGAATATTCCCTAACATGAAACTTCTACAAATGACTGTTCTAGATTGATATTACTTTCATATAGTAAGAAAACTGTAGAAACAACCAGTGGCCTGCTGCATGAATCATCAACTAATATTTTGTTGACAATCTCCAATATCAGAAAAAAGTTTCAGGCTTCATAAGTAGTAATTTATTTTTTAATAGACTAGAATTCACACTATTGTTCAGAAGTAGATAATAAACGATTCCAGAAAAGCAATCAGTGTGTTTGCGAAACACGAAGAGATTGATTTTCAATTTAAGCAATAAAATGTAACCCAGTCTTTAATGTGCGAATTGTAACCTCTGCCAGAGATATAGTCACACATTTTTTCATTCAATGGCTTTTGACATGAAATCAATGAAACGTCGAGCATACTGATCTGGATCGCATGTACTAATACCATCTACATTTGAACCATATTTGACAGTTTTAGCAGCCTTAGCAGCTTGCTTCTTAACTCCATAATGGGTTAACACATCGATAATGGCTATAAAATAGATTTCGTTAACTGGGGCTGTCTCAGAGCTCGGGATGGCATATATGTCGAGATCTGGTATTATGCCGCCTGAAAATCAAATTATCATGCTGTTATTCCATACATTAAAAATATCACAACAAACAAAAAGTATTAAATTTCAGCCTAACTGCATGAAATAAAGCAGAAAAATTCATTTGTGAATACAACATTATATCAACACTCCTTACTTAAGCCAGTTCAGTAAATAAATATAATGTGCTTAGGAGAAATATAAATATAGCATTGAAAATGTCAGAAAATCAACCTCATTGTTTCATGTTTTCACAATCTCGTATTCACAATTTGTTTCTGTATTCATAGTAATCTTGTATTTTACGTTAAATCTGCTTCAAAATTCAAGTTGATCAGCAAAGCAATTACACAATACCTTGACTCAGTTTTTGTTTAGAGATTGGATATAGTTTGAATAATCCTGACAGGGGGAAACAATTGAATATAAGTGTGTCATCTGAGAGCAGCATGATTACCAAAATGAAGAAGAGTGAATATTCATTTTTGCATAAAACAATAATATGTCTACAAATTCATAGTAAATGAAGAAAATATATGAAAAACACAAAATTCAGACCTTAAGAAGAGTGATGATAAACAAAAAAAAAGCCAGTGAAATGTACTTCAATATCGGTTATTTCTTTTTCTGGATTAACTTATCGATTTAAGAGTGAAATAAGAGTCTTGATTAGTGTTTGACACAGAAAGAATTAATTTAACGTGAATTGCACAAATATTACTTCTAGGCAGATAATTAACCCTCATATTTTTTATTTAATTCCATTTTGAAGAATAGTTCGTATTCTATCATATTGATAAAAATGTATGTTGTTGATTTATGATCTTAATACTCATGGCACACATTATTGATGGACATTTCCAGCACGTCATTACTAACATATAGAAGATTTGTTCAAAATACATATCTTCAATTGTCACATTTATTCAATTAATGATTTGTAGCTGGAGGATATGCTTTATTCATCAGACGAGGGTGAGCTTGGACTAGATATACGCCTCTGGTTATGCTGTGGACTTGGTTCCCAATCCTCAACAAGTTGTGTTGAGTGATATTTCATCTACGCTTCTACAAATAATGTTATCAATACTGTTGTTTTCAATATAGTTACAAATGTTGGGTTTTTTGAGTATGTAACAGTACATACAGTATAACAAATTAATTCTGAGAAAATTCGAGAAAATCTTAATAAAGTATTATCAATTTTTCAAATGACAATACGGGTAGGTTTAGCAGTTGAACTTGAGAAAAAATTCTGGTAAGTTTATATTTTTAAAAGGCTCCATAGACAGGGTCTTGTTTCAACATCTTGCAGAATAAAAATATAACTCAAGTGTCTTGTGAATAGGATCACCGAAAAATAAAAAACAAATAATAATAATTTTGAACTCTAGGACTCATGACAGTGAATTTTATTGCAAATTTTGAATTATTCATCACTTGATTCTCTTTGTGACTGTTTCTGAAAATTGAAAGTGAGAATCAAGTCCTTAGCTTCTTAAATAATTATTACTTTAGTAGTAGTAGTATAGTAGTGTAATAATGTTTACAAGTTTGTCGTAACACATATGTGTAAGAAAAGGAAATTAGACACAAAATCACAAAAACGTAGTGATATGAAAAGTGGTAAAGAGTCAAAAGCACAACATTTTAGTTGGGTTGCCGCCATCGACATTATTAGTATAATGCCCAATTTTCAAAATGGTCCTAGATATATGACTTTCTGCCACCAAGAAATTAGTTCAAACGGGATTATGTCTGATAATCTTCTCAAATATTCCCACATTTTTTAGATGAGCATTCCAGGTAAGATTTTTTTTTCTAAAATAATACCTAAATATTTCCCTTTTGCTGAAAATGAAATAATCTCACAATTCAAGAAAAGTGGAGTTAAATCATTCAATTTCCTCTTCCTGGTAAAGGGGACTATCACAGTTTTGCTGAGGTTTACAGAAATGTGCTTCCTCTAGCACTAACTGGTATTTTTGTACCATTTTCTGATTTTGTATATGGAAAAAATAATTTCAATTCGAAAACTAAAGTTTAATATTACTGGAGTTTTTTTTCCCAACACCAAATCGTTATTTTCAACACCTCGACACGTGTTTCGATAACCAAGTGATCATCTTCAAAGAGGAAGATTGAGTTTTAATCTTCCTCTTTGAAGATGATCACTTGGTGATCGAAACACGTGTCGAGGTGTTAAAAATAACGATTTGGTGTTGGAAAAAAAAATCCAGTAATATTCATTACTACACCAAAGGTTCCAAACAGTGCATCATAAGAACTAAAGTTTATATGTGATAGTGATTTCAAAATATTCATTGACTTTTTCAAAAATATTTACCCTTATATTTTCAATAATTCCAAGTAAAATATAGAAGTTTGTAATCATGTCCTAAAGAAAATAACGCCGGCCACCACTGGTAGCCATAAACCAATTGTGATGTGGCTAAGAACGCGCTCGGTTCGGCCGACATTTCGCAGCTGTTCGCACCGAATTGATGGAATTCCCGGCGAATATTCCACCGACTTCGATGAAATTCCGAGGAATGTTCCAGCGCCTTCGATTGCCAAATACATTCACCATCCACTCGCCCATCGAGACAGTCAAGTTTTAGTTGAAATGTTTGTTGTATTCAAAGTGAAATAAATTTAAGTTTGATTATTGTTCAGTGTAGTCAATTATTGGTCAACCCATGGGGAAAAACGTAAAAATAGGAAATATTTCATAAATTCATGAAAAGAAAATTAGAAACTAGATCAAATAAGTATTTTAAAGAGTAAAAGCACCAAATATAACTAGAATTGAAAATAAAAGAAAGAGAATGCAACTAAATTCTTTAGGTAGAGCTTGAATGAAGTATCATGTTATGTTTATTGACTTCAGGTAAACTTTACCTCGAATTTTTGTTTCAGAATATTGATTTTGTACAAATACTTGAAAATGAAAGAAAGAGAATGCAACTGAATTCTTAAGATATAACTTGAATGGGGTATTATTATGTTGTTTTTATTGACTTCAGGTAAACTTTCATTTGAATTTTTGTTTCAGAACATTGATTTTATACAAATTACCCTGAATTCTTTTATTATGCAATATAAGGAAAAACTATGTGTTTTCTGAAATTTACAAGAAGTGATTTCATTCTAGTTACCAATTATTCTATAAATAAATGTAAATGATATTATGTTTAAAGATTAATTCAATTCAAATATTCAAGAGAAACTTGATCATGATTAAAGAGTAAAAGTACCTGACTACTTGATAAATAGGCAAAGAAAATCGGCAAACTCAGAAAAGCTCTACAGAAGCTCTAGAAGGATAATCTGTTGAGCTTACCTGTTACTACTTCTAAATACTGGTAAATTTTGTTGAATTTACCTTCGTATTGCAAGCTGTGCTCTCGAAGGAGTTGGCCAACTACATTAGGCGAATCTGGAGGGGTGGTGACACCCATTGCCCTGTTTTCCAACCCAGAGCCAGATTCACTCTCATCGGACTCTTGGGGGTTTTCAGCTTCAAGCTCTCTCTGCCTCTGAAGTTCTTGTTCTCCTCTTTCAACCTCATGAATGCCTTGAATTATTTCGGTAAATAAATTTTTAGCAGTAGAAATACAAGCTGTGGTAAAAAAGTTTTATATATATTTCAGGAACACGGTAGAGTACTAGTCACGTTTAATGAGGGTTTTGTGAAACACGAAAGATTTGTTGAACTGTTTATGTGAAAATCTTACAACAAAGTGTTACTTATATTTTATTGAACTGAAAAAATATATTCTGCTAAAATCTATTTTTCCATTGCCCCCTTACGAATGACAACTCTCAAAAGTCAAAATTTGTGCGAGTCTGAGTACCAACGAGGTCTTTCCTTTTAACGTATGATTCCTAATACATTTTAAACAATACTAACACAAACTAATACAGAACATACCCAATAGAAGACTATAATCCATCAAATGTAATTTTGTCAAGAAATCAACATCTGCAGTTAATGTTTCCATTAGTTTGGACTTCGCTTCTTCTCCAATAGATACCTAAAATACAAATATGTTGACTAGTTGAAAATAGAAGGAGTTAATACAAGTCAGAATTTGAAAAACTTTCAAGCATGCCTGACAAGTAGAATAAAAAAAAGGTTTTCTCTAGACATTTATGATTCAATATGGGTATTTTAGTATGTGAAACTTAACTAACCACATGTCAAAAAATAAAATTTATATGTACCTTCATTTGCTCATTAACAAAATCATTATCTTTCAAAGTAGGTAGTTCTTTTTCTTTTTCTTTTTCTGAGGCTTCTCTGTCTACCGTAGATCCTTTCAGATCGAATTTTCTGTGTGTGCTGAGATGGTTTGAGAAAACATTCCTACTTACGACGATGTAATGTTCCACATTATCAACAGTTAGTCGATACATCCCTAGGTATTGTGGAAGAAGAGTTTTACCATGTCTTTCCACAATATACTTGAAAACAAAAATAAAAATTAAGTAATGTGTTTGCTACGGAACAAAAATGTTAGTGTTTTCTAGATATGTCTAGTTTGGTAGTTACTAAATTCAACTAGAATCCATAATTATTTTCTAACATTATCGACATATATGAAAAATACGACATAATTTGCATCTGTCCTATGGAGAAGTATCTCCACAAATGAAGAAATTCAAAACATCTAACTTGTTTAAAAATATATGAGATAAGAAATAAATCTTATAATAAAAAGTCATGAAAATATATTTTAACTTTTAATTAATGAGATTTACGACTTACAGGGTGATAATGTTTCAAAAAAGAATGCATTCTTTCCACTTCTTCGGAAGTCAGGGTTTTGATTATGAAAATTCTGTCGTAGCTAAGATAGAACTTTGCTCCACTTTTACCTGAAGAGTCATCTGGTAAAGGCTGTGATCTGGAAATAAAATAATTAGGCAAGGGTTGTTTTAAAATACCTACAGATGGATTTGGATTTTAATATATTTTATTTAAAAAAGGTTGTGGAAAGATATTTTTTTCACGATCAACTTATTATAATCTTTGTACCTAATTACATTACAGATGTAAAAAAATGCTAAACTATGTAATGACAAAAGTTATGACCACTATGTATGTCAAAGCTACTTTAGGGGTTTCTAGGCTGTCGTCTGCAGGTGTGACTAATTTATTTCAAATATGGGTTTGTAACTAAGGTATATATACTACATATTAGTTTGACAGTTGTATCTCTTTCAAACTTTTTTTTTAATCTTTTGAAATAAATAGGTTTAAAATCATTTCAACATTTATCAATGAAATTTTCAGATTTTTTCCTCAAAAAATATATTATATGTGATGGAATTGGCCGATACTTGATGAAAATCCATAACTGATCCAAGTAATACTTTATTGTGAAATTTTCACTAGACAGTTTTCAAAACCGCAACACATGTTTCGCTATATAATAGTTTTATCAAATATGTGTTTCAGTACACCTCGAAGTTCACTGTTCAAGAACTACTTCATTTGGAAAATTGCGTTTATGTGAAATGAACTAAAACGTTTTTCTAGGTAAATGGATTTAATCTTCAGCTATGAATGTTTTGGTGTCAAGAAAGTCCAGTAAACTAGAAGAGGAAAATTCTTTATTGAAAAAAAGTATAATCGACAAGGAAATCATTATATCAGACGGTATTTTCAAGGGTTTAGATAAAATTATTGAAAATGTGAATTTTTTGTCTTCTGTAGAAAGAGCACCACGAGAAAACGTAATTAAACAAATGTATTCAAGTGTAGTTGCTAATAAATTTCCAAATGAATACAAAACCACTAAACATATTTTTAAAATAAAACCAAAAACTACGCAATCTGTAATGGAAACAAGGATGGATTCATAAAACGAAATCAACAAGAGATTAGAAAATAAGTATAAAACTGATTTCCAAAAACTCATAAACCCGAAAATTAAGATAGTTGGAATTAAGTCAACCACAAAATTCATGTGGAAAGGTATAAATTCTTTACTGAATAATTCAACTAATGAGACTGAGAAAATTAAAAGTATAAATCTGAAAGGTTTGAATATTGATGATCCACTGGAAATCTGTGAAGCAGTTAATCATCATTTCATTACAATAGGTAATAAACCAACAAATACTAACCCTAAAACAACAAGAATATCTAATGACCTTTCAATTGTTTCAAACCTATTTGTATATCTGAAATAGAGGATAGTATTAATCAATTCAATCATAACAAAGCATGTGGTTTTGAAGAAATTTCTGTGAAAATTGTGAAAGCAGTGAAAACTGAAGTATCCCCAATTTTATTTTATATTATTTCCAAATCCGTCGAAAGTGGAATAGTTCCAAATAAAATGAAAGTTGCAAAGGATCTGGAAAACAATAACTTTCTATATAAAACTCAATACGATTTTCGCAGATCTAGCGACACAGAGACAGCGGTAATGGATGTACTGTCGCAAATCCAATTGGAAATTGATAAACATAAGAAATGTTGTCTCTTGCCCCTCGATTTGTGCAAAGTTGATTCAGTTGACCATAGTATATTGTTGAAAAAATTATTCAGTATTAGAATCAGATGCAATCTTCTGGAATGGTTTCAGAATTATTTGTATGATAGAAGACAATATGTCTATACAGGTAATCAAAAAAAGCTCTCTTCAAAATATAACTTGTGGTTTACCCCAAGGATCCATCCTTGGTCTTGTTTATTCCTTATTTATATTAATTCACTAGCCAATTTGAAATTGAATGGTATAATTGAACTATTTGCTGATGATACTATTATTTATTTCTCAGACAGTTACAAAAAAAAATTACATGAAGAATGATTTGCATCAAATTCTCATTTGGCTTAATAAACATAATTTGAGGCAAAATTTCAATAAACGTTCATATATGAATGTTTCCCTAAGACTAATTGATACTTCAAATAATTCGATTATGTTTGATAAAAATTCTATTGAATATACAAGAACAACAAAATTTTTAGGTTTATACATTGATGAGAAATAATAAACATATTTATTGAAAAAATTAGGAAGAAAATATCTCCTCTTATTGGAATTTTTTACAAAATTAGAAACTTTATACCTTTGGAATTTTTTAAAATATATATTTTAGTCTCATTTATTCACATTTGCACTCTCTTATGTCTGTTTGGGGAACAGCAAGTAACTCTATAATGAAACCTCTGAAAACCTTACAGAACAAAATAATAAGCATTTACCATATTTGGAACCAACATTGAACTTATATAAACCAAACTTTTTATTGGAATTCACTCTATAAATTCAAAATTAGCTGCTTCATAAACACCTGCAACACAGAATATAGCTCACAGAAACTTTAATCTTTAGATCAAAGTGCCGATAAACTAGTATCTTATCTGTGAGGTATTCTGTGGATAGGTTACTCTATTGTGAAGAGTGTGTTGTGAACAATGTACATGCCACGAGTTTGCTGTCTACAGACGAAGGTCATAATTTCCAGTTATAAAAACATATCCAATTATAATTACATATATGGAAAACAGTGAAACAAATTCATGAACATACAAGTATTCTGAAGAAAAACTTTCAATGCGATCACTTGTTGGTTGTAAAAAACATTGGTGTCTGTACGTAAAATTTTGATACCTACTGAGTTGTCTTCAGTACACTATTCCATAGACATAATAGACAGTCTTGTGCAATAGACAGTTCAAGTTCGCCCTCCTTTTTTTAATGGTTATAAATTGAAAGAGTATATTTTTAGGAGAGATTAAACTTTGGGAAAGAAAGTTTTTGTGTTTTTACTTCTCCATCTCGATACAAAATATGTGGGAATCTTTAAAAGAAAGGAAGGAAGCAAACAATTACAGAAATTAACTATATACAAAGATGTGTAGATCATGAAAAGAAGTAACTTTCAGACACAAATTGAAAGAAATAGCCTTTCTGAGACAGCTATTTTCTTATACACATTGTTATATTATATATTTCTTTTGATAATTTGTTCTTTTAGTGTCACGTACATAATGCAGTTATATTTTACGAAACATCGACATATTAGAAAAATTGGTTTTTCTTCCGATCTGATTCCAATATAAAAAAACTCCTCTGTAGTTTGGAGATTTTTATTTTTATTTTTCTGACACGTGGCATTCGTGAATTATTTTCTCAATTCATTTTGTCTTCCATCATGAATTTCGAAATTATTTTAAAATAAACACTTACTGAAAATTATAGCTGAGAGAACATATTTAATTTTTTCAAGAATACGTTTATGTATTTATTTCAACTGAAATGAAAAATGTCATTATGTGAAAACGTTGTAATATGGCCGCCCCCACCCCATTATGAAAAGTGGTATATTTCAAGAAAGCGAAATAAATAAATTAAATCAAAGAAAATAGTTGAATATAAACAAAATCCGATTACGTGTATAATATTTGTAAAAAAATAGAAAATACTTAAAATACTTCTGGTCTTGATTCATATGCAGAAATATAAAAGAGANAGGGCACATGATTCTCGAACCCAATAATCAATTTGGGTAAGTTGAATAAATATTTATTCAAAAGCTTCGGACGATATGAATTTTCCATTAGAATACTTTTTAAAAATTTCAAATCATTTTTACAAAAATCCGGAAGTGACAATCTGGTGACTTATTCTTTAAGAGATAAAATTAAGTTGGTTTCCATCCTTGAAGGATGTTGTGAAAAATAACCAATGAACCTATTGTAAATTGAAGATGTGGATTGAAAGAGTGTTTTCGATCTGATCTGAAGGGAGTGCTAAGAATATAACATCAATAACATCAATATCATATCACTAATAATTTTTCACTTACACTCACATGTAAATCTCACTGTATGTGAAAATATTATAATAATCCCATTTTCTCTGGTGCTGTAATAAAATTTTCAACATATCTATTACTGTATAATATTCCCGTGATCTTTATTCAAAATATTCTTCATGAAAATCAAAAAATAAATAGATAAGTACTCTTTGATCATTCCCATATTGATTTCAATTTAAGAGCCACCGGTATACAGCTGTTTCAGCCTATTGGGCATCGTCAGTACCGGGCAGGCGGTCCTCGATTGAAGACAAAATGAGAAAAAACCAAGAAAGTACTTGATAAAAATAGCTGCGTAAACGCAAGCGAAACATAAGGCATAGTTTGGGTGTCATATCACTAATATATGGTAAGGAGGTGAAGACTATAGGAACTGGAGGTGGATATTCAATTGGAAAATTATTTTCAAGTTTTTTGAATGAAATGAGGGATCAGAAATCTGTAAAATGCGGTTCTTCATTTGTTTGACCAAGTTAATTTTCGTTGATTGTTTGTGGTATGACCAGTAGTTCAAGAACCTTCCAGAACTGATAGGTTTGCAATATCAGTCTATGAGAAGGGCATTATCGGGTGTTCTGATAGATAAATCCAGTATCCAGGAACGGAACCCATTATTCGTTGTTTTCAGTTTCAATAGTAAACTGTATATAAGGGTCATAACTATTGAAAATATCCACAATTTCAGATATTCCATCTTGCGGAAGGGAGATAATGATGTCATCAACATATTTCTTTATGAAAAAGAAGTTGAAAGGAAGAACCTGTAAGACCAAGTCTAACAGATCATCCATGACATATGCTGCTAAAATAGGGCTAATCTTTGCTCCCAACCAAAAAGTTGTTTATAAATTTCACCATTAAATGAAAAATATGTGTTATCAAAGAGGAAAGTTATAAGTTGGAAGAATTCTTCTTCTTTTTTGATATTACAAAACTGACTGATACGTCCCCATTTTCTATCAATAGATCTTAGACAAGCATCTACATAGACATTGCTGAAGAGGAATAAGACATCCAAACTAGCAATTACATAGTTGGTAGGTAATTTCATATTATTGAAAGTAGAGAAGACATCAAAAGGGTCTGATGAAATAATGATTTTCGAAATCATAGACTTTAGTTAAAATTTCAGTGAGAAATGATGCAAGATTTTCAGTTGGAGAACCAATTGA